TTTATTAACTGAATTTAACGTTTTCGGCGCGCTTAGGAGTTTCTGGTTTTGAGAACGAATTTTTAAGTTATTTGGTATCAGTTTAGGCCTTTAAGGTTTATAAAGTCTTAGGTATTGCCACGGTTGTTTAAGCTTCGGCTTTAAAGTTACGATATCAAAAAGTGAAGAAATAAAGGGAAACTAATTGGAATTGTATTTTATGGATATTATTTAAAATGTAAAAATTAATATAGATATATTTATTTTAATACCATTTGGATTTTTGTTAACAAAATATTTACAATTAAAATATGTTTAACATGCATCATAACAAATACAAAATTGTTTTGAATTATTACGTGAAAGATTAAGTTACTCCATAGGTATAAAAATATGATAATAAATATTTTTTGTTATTAATTTTGAACTAATTATGACCATATTATAAATGTAATTCTAATTATACAGGTACTAATAATTTGTATTGGTTATTTTGATTTATGTAATAGATAATATTCACCACAATAATATCTGCAGTGTGGCTAAGAATTTCAACTAATAGCTATAATCATTTCAGGGTCATCGCGCTCATATCAGATTGGAAAAAAAGTTACTCTGCTGCATAGTGCTTACATAGGTATACCCTTCATAAGCCGATGACGATMAACTGTAAAGGCTATCCGATGGTCAAATCGCTTCGATAGGCGACGGCGATGATAAAAATTAATAAATATTATCGTCACTATCAATTTATACAATAACTCGGCAAGCAGAGCCTTGGCCTTCGGTCGAACCACCGCAGCCGCCGCCAAAGACAGCGGGCCCGACACGTCCGCGTCAATGCCACTGGCGCGTAGAAATGTTTACGAAAATGACGAAAAAACCAAAAACAAAAACGCATATCACAATGTATAATAATAATATGCATGGACGCGTGATACGAGAACGAAATAAAAACAACACAACGCCGATATATTGTTATAAGTACGAAATGCTGGCACGTATGTCACGATAGTGTAGCGTATATAAATATAACTACATAAAAATATATATAATTGACGGTAACAGGTCCGACAGCGATCATATGATTATMTGCAAATGGTCTGCTGGTCTTTGCGATAGAGTGTACAACGATATAGTATAGTTAAACGTGGTCTCCTGCACAATATACCTTCATCGCTGTAAGAGCATCCCACTGCAGCGGTTACCGCACAGTACCACACAATATAAGAGATTGAAGTCGATTATTCGTGACGACTTGTTTATATTGCACCGCGTATATACCCGGTATCTGGTCGGCCCACAATGTCCGGTTTCCGTGCGGTGTCGTTGGTGATGGCCGCCGTGTCCGTGGTATTCGGCGACGACCATCGTGTGGCCGGCTCGGACGCGCCGGCGGACGCGGCCGCGTACTCACTGAGCGGCCAGAACATCGAGTGGCCGTGCACGTCCACCAAGAGCGTTTACACGGACACCGGACGGTACGTGGCCAAGAACGTGATCGTCACCAGGGCTCAGGTGTGGGGTGACCGGGCATTCGTGCTCACGCCCAGGTTCCGGTCTGGTGTGCCGTTCACCGTGTCCACTGTCCGGCTGGAATGCGAGCACAGGTGCTGGCCAGTGCTGGTGCCATACCCGTGCTGGGCACTGCACGACGAGGGTGACCCGAACGCCATACAAAACGCCGTCGACGTGTATCTGGACCCGACTGGAGTGTTGTGGGTGCTCGACAGCGGGTTGGTCAACACCATGGAACAGCCAGTCCGCCGCACCCAGCCCAGGATATTTGCCATCGACGTCAAAACCGATAAGGTCAGTGTGAAAGCGCAATGATAACTAATAATATTATGCTCATAGATACGTTTTCAGTCAACTTTAGATTAGGTTAGGTATACGGTACATATACCTGTGGTAC